ATCTAAATCAGATTTCAGAATTGCGAATAAAATTCAACCATGAAGCGAGCCAAATACCAGTAGAAAACACGCAAAAAATAAAAGGGGTTCTTTTACGAATTCAAAAAAGGTGCACCCAATTATCGACTTAGGCTTGAGCTTCTGAAAAATTGCGTTCTTATCAGCGTGTTTCTCGAAAGCCACCGTCCGTTTTTTAATTTGGATAGAAGAAATCAAAAATTAAACCTAAATCAAAATAAAAATAGGGGAGGATCTGAGAGTTGTTTTAAAAAAAGAGAGGTGGGAGAGAGTTCCAAAAAGAGAATAACTTTGGGCAGGGTTGAAGCTTGGTAGACCAGAGAATAAACATCCAAATCAAGCCAGTAATAGCTAGAAAGATACAAGAAGCCATGGGAATGGGAAAATGTTCAGAACTTTCTTGTTGTAAATGTTGAACACAATGTTCTTACAATACCATAGACCAAAAATAACAGCCAGCTGCAATTTCTTGTCTGGTTTCGCTACTTCTAGTTCGCCATTTGGGCTTGATTCTTCTGGGGTTCTAGACACTGATTTCACAACCTGAGATGCCCGTCTTGAAGAAACCACAAACGGGTTCCCAACAGAACTCAAAGAATCCAGTCTCGAACATGAAATCCTTGAAGGGTTAGCATAGATTTTGCTGAAAGCAGAGATTTTTAGAAAGGGAAGGGACGAATTGGGTGCATCTAAATGGAATTGATTTCCAAGATTTGAATCCGATTAAGCTGTTAGTTAAATTGAAACTTATCAAATCCTTTAATGAGAGAGATACGGTAAGATAAAAACCGATTTTCAAACTGATATTTTGAAATAATACCATATCCGGTCCAATGAAATTGTAAAGTCAATTATGCGGGGAAAAATGCCCATATCAGGGAAAGCCATATCCCTAATTACATGCGTAATTAATGAAGGGAAAATCAAACAGATGTTATCCATGGCTTCCTCGTCGACGTAATAGTTTTGGTAGTTCCAATTTTTAAATATCTTATGGCAGCAGCAATAACAACAGAAATCGGAGATTTGTCGCCGAGTAGAGATCAGGAATTCATGCTAGATTGATATCACTGAAAATTTGTCACTCAAAAGAAGCTGGATTTCATATCCTTCAATTTCAAAGTTTAAGGTTTGCCCGATAGATACAGTCAAACTTTGATATTTTTTCAGGCAATGAAGTGAAGGATGAGCCAGTGATTTTGAAGATATAGTCAGCCGGAAGTCTTGGTGGCCAGAAAAAATCTCCCGGTCAGATTGGTGTATCGGAAATCGTTGGCCGGAAATGAACCGGTGAGGACGTAATAATGGAAAGAGAGATCTATGTGGCCGGAAAAAAATTTCCGGTCAGTTTGATGTATCGGAAATTAAAGGAGTCAAAATTATATTTCCAAGGAAGTAATAATTATTTTAATTAACCATATTACTTGGGTAAAATATAAAGTTAAAAAAGTCCACGAATTAGAAGATGACATGTGGACTACATGAAAGTCTCATCGAATAAGAAAAAAAAATCCCTTAATATATAGTAAGATTGGTGCATTTTATTTGAGTCCAAAATGGAAATGTTAGATTAGATAAGATTTGACTCTTAGTAGATAAGAGTCTTAGTTGTCAATCCATATCTTATCTCCTTATATGGGATTAGGATGATTGGGAGATTCTTTTCTATCATTTTAGGAGTCTAAATTCGTGCTCCCTCTTCTCCTATAAATAGGAGTCGAATTCTTCATGGTAAAGAAGTTGAGATTTTATTAAAATTAGTGTTGGGTTGCTACCTCACTTGATGAGTTATTGCAAAATTCTGTTTTGTGTTTCATAAGGAACTTATCAATTGAAAAGTGGTTCTTTCAATTGTGGCGTTCATAGATATCGTTGTTTTTTCACTATAGATTATTGGTCTTGATTCTTAAATAGTCAAGGTTCTTGATTCATAGTTGTTAGAAATGTGGCACTTTATAATCAAGGTATTCTTCCACAAGTTAGATTTGTGCATTGGTTTCTTGGAGCATATTACCATCCCATCTATTTCGTAGGTGGTCTACCATAAGACCTCTCTCAAAAGGGATAAATTATCATACCAATCTTCAACCTTTTCAAGATTAAATGCTTTCGTACTACAAGTCGCTATCAAAAAGGAAAAAAAAAAGGTGTCTCAACGATCAACTTCAGTAATAAGTGATAGGTCTATCTATAAGGACCATATAAGCCCCCAAAACCAATTGGCAATAATGAGTGTAACACATGAACTTTATGTGTTGGTCAATATGGATTACAATGTGGGACAAGTATACTTCACTTGTTTCCAAGTTCAAAATGGATTTTAACAACCCAATATTGAGTCGTCAATGTCACAAATTTTTCACATCTTTAGAAAGGCTAATGCCTTGGCGGACTTACTCGGAAAAATACGAACTAAATGACTAACATTGCAGTATGAAAATCGCTGAGAAATGACACGATTAGAGCGTGGTTTTCTCTATCTTGATCAATAGTCATTTCCACATTTGTGTATCTGATGGAAATTCCTTTTGCATTGGAATTTTTTTTTCTTTATTTATGGTGTCATAGAAGGGGTCATATAAGTCTGATTGTTTGAAGTTCAAAAATAAAAAAGAATTATTTGAAAAATGATATCAATGAATCTGTCAAAACTGGTGTTTTTGTACATAATGATGGAAATATCTTATTTGCTAGTCATCAGGAAACATAATCTAATAATGAATGGATTTAAGATTCGAGTTGTACCTATCATATATTTGCAAAGGCACTGTTTGAATAAAATTGTATCATGGTGGTTTAGAGATTCTCAATGATGTCAGATACGCCACTGGATATGGAAGAAATTTCATCTCTTTGAGTACCCTTGATGCCTTCAAAGTTTTTTTTTACACTTTGGAAGGCGGACATATGAAAATTATTAAAAATGGCCATGTAGTTATGGAAGGTTGCACGCTTGGTGGATTTAAATTTTTTTAGAAATTTGTATCAAGTGTTGATCCAGGCAATTAGTCCAACTCTTGTTTAGACTTCTAGAATCTTTTTGTTCAAATTTACAGGATTTTGTAGAGAAGGCAAATCAAGATATTTCCTATTTTAACATTTATGTCAAGGTGGAGATTTGTTCGGTGTACCAAAAATGCTTGTCAGCTATACTGTACAAAATTGGCTCATATGGTGAACCTGACATGGTTTAATTTTTTACCTTTCACAATGGGGCAAAAAGACAATCTTATGGAAAGGAGTAAGCTCATGGATTGAAACACACCAATTTTCTTTTTCTTTTCAGTACCTTCAAGAAATGTAACACTAAAAAATACTTACAGATTTTGAGAGGTTTATGAAGAGAATATCCAAATATATATTTTCTCTTCTTGTTGTATTTGTGGATTCTAGATCCAGTTGAGGTTTCTATTCTCTCTTTTATTGTGGTTATTTGTGTGCCATTTGATGTTTTGTATATTCCATTTCGGTATTTGTATTTTGGCCCATAATAATAAACTTGCTAAACCATTGCTCGTGGAAGTAGGTCAATTGACTAAACCACTTAAACTATTATATTGTGTCTCGCTCCTATATTTTTTTTTTCTCGTTTCGAGTCATCGTTATTTTCTTTCTGATTTGTCTGAAATTATTGAGGTTTGTTACCTAACAAATTGGTTTCGGAGCATACCACCCAAAAATAATCTTTTGCTTCTTTCACAACTATCATGACAATTAATCATGAAGACTTACATTCAAAAATTTGATCTGTATATGAATTTCGGGGTTACGGAAAATAAAAATACATGTCATTTAGTTCAAGATGGAACAAATTAAGGTTTTAACTATGCATTCGTGGGTAACCCACAAACTTTTCCACGAAAAGTTGCTCATGGTAGAAATGCTCGTGGGTAACAGCTCTCCTACGGAAGTCAAAGCTCCATGGGTAATTCACCCACAAAAATTGTGATTCGTGAGTAATTTACTCATAATGTGTTCTGTGTGGACTTCCGTAGGTAAATCCCTTTCTGGAACACGAGAATTGAGAAGAATTACCAACGACCTTCGGTGGGTTACTAGGTAGGAAAAATAATAATGAAATGGTTTTAACAAATATTTTTTAGCCACGACATGCCGTGGGAAAAAAAATTATTTTTGTTAGGAAATACTTTTTCCACGACTTTCTCAGTGGGAAATATTAACTAATTTATTTCTACAAATTTACACATGTTTCTTTCCTTTCCTTCCAATCTTAATTGACTTTAGAAACTCCTTCGTGAGATCGACTTCTACACAAAAACAGGCAACCGACGGCCACGTCATATTCAAAGTTGGAATGTCAACCTGCAGTGGTTTGCCTATAGTAGTGGCAATTAAGAAAAGCACTTGCAGATTCATGTATTCAACAGGCAGCTCGTGCAAAGATATCCAAATTGGAACCACTAAGGGATCTTCTTCGAACTTGAAATCTGGTTGCCATTTGAGGATTCGCATCTAAAATCCTTGAATATTCCAGGTTGTTTAATCCAACATCTTTGGTAGTCCTCTTCACGTTCAAAACATATTAAAATGTGCCTAGGGTTTATTAAGCCAATAAAATAACTTCCACGAAAACCCTGTTTTGTCAAACTCCTTCCAAACCTCTTCCATCTTCGGCCTTCCATTTGAGAACTTCCCCACAAGGCTAAGTCGATGAGGAGCAACAAGATTGTCATATTCTTCATCATCAAACTCGAGTATAGGTGATCCATTCACAAACTTAACCTGCTTAAAATTTTGATTCCCTGCAAACTTCGATGTTGGTGACTTCTGAAAAAAGCTTGCGAAAGTTCGGGGCGGCCCAATATGGGCTGCCTCTTGATTTCCGGCCATGAGGCCGCAATTTTTAGGGAGCTGCTGGCAGCACTAGGGCTTTTAGAAATCCGAGAGAGAGCAAGGAGAAAGAGGTTTCTTTTACCAAAGACATACATATACAAATGAAAAAATAAAATAAAATTCCCATAGCCAACTGGGATACAAAGTGAAACAAATCAAAGGCTACACTCAATTTTTTGTAATATTATTTTTCTTTTAACTATTCAGTTCTCTTATGGAGTAATATTATTTTTGAATTATTAACTTAATATATACATAATATCAGCAACGTGGGGATTTAACACTAGTATATAAAAGAAAGTAAATTTAATTTTTCTAAAATTTAATAAATTAACTCGAAGATTGGTGACTTACATATCACATGGTAAAGAAGTACTTGCCTTCTCCCAGCTGAAAAGTGAACATTCTTATTCATCCTCAATAGCTGTGGGATATGTATATGAAACATGAACAAACTATTATTCATTTACCATTTAATACGATGAACCCAAAACAGAAAAGCAAAATCCAAACTTCTCTTGGTTTTCCAAGTACATAAATAGCAACCATGAACATGAATTCCTGTTTATCATACTTCAGATTCCCACCCTGAAAAGATGGAAGAATTTCTTTGCCATTTCTCTCTTCTCCTCTTTAAAGTCTCGAGCACAGACTGTGCAGTGCAGTAAGCAATGGCCTGGACAGTAACCATTGGATTCACACCCAATGCTGTTGGGAAAACACTTGTATCTGCAACATATAACCCCTCAATTTCCCATGTCTCACCCATTGGATTCACAGCCGAACACTCCGGATCGACCCCCATTCGACAACTTCCCATCTGATGCGCCGAACAAATTGGTGTCTCCAGATCTTTCAACGGCCTCGCGCTCTCTTCTTTCACGAACTTGTCAAACTCCCCGTAGCTAACTTTCTTCACATTTATGCTCTTTCCTCCGACATGATGAGTTCCGATTTCTTCAGCTCCCGCGTGGGCTAATATCCTCAGGACCTTCTCCAGCCCGGCTTTGATGTTTTGTTCGTCTATCCTGTCCATATTGTAGGTTATCTCATGCGGCGAAACAATCTCCCCTGAACCTATGTCTCTCGCCAGCGCGAATATATGCGCCGTCCTGGCGAATTTGCACATGCGATCTTTTATGTTTCGGCCTGAAACCCATGGAATCAATGCCGAAAACATCCCTGGATGAAGCGCCGGCGTTTGAATCACGGCGCCATACCCCGATCTCTCAAAGTTGGCCACTACTGTTGACATCGCCGTCATTATACCGCCTTCATAACTCCTCTTCTCTGTTTCAGGCCATTGATCCGGAACCGTTTTGTTGTCCGGAAAATAACCCCAAGCCATAGCCACAGGATGGATATGCAAGTTTTTCCCGATATTCGGGTTCTTCAAACCACTTTGTTTGAGTAAATTAGGTGTACTTAAAGCACCACAGGCTACAATAGTAACCTTAGATTTCACAAAACAGAGTTCCTCTGCTCCCTGGTGGTTTCGGAATCTAAACTTTACCCCGATCGCTTTCTTTCTTCCCTTATTGTTCTTCCGTTTATGCAACACTTCAACGACTTCGCACTCAGGAAGGATCGCGCCATTTCCGGATTGAACCAAATCCAGCAACCATGTTTCGGGCGTGCCCTTCTTTCTACCATCTTTACAACCAAGACAGCACCAACCGCAATAATGATCGGCCGGCGCGTTCCGGGGAATAGTGTTCACAGGGTATCCTAATTCCTGACACCCTTTTCTCAAAACCATATTATTGAATCCTTCATCATTGATTTCAGACTGAACTCCCATCTTTTCGCAGACGGCATCCAGCGCCTCCCGGTACAATTTACTGTCAAACAGCTCCAGCTCGTACGATGTACTCCATTCTTTCAGTACATGAGGCGGCGTCCTGATTGACGCCGACCAATTCACGGTGGATCCTCCGCCAACGGTTGATCCGGCGAGAAACTGGACTTCCATCTTCGTTGTAGCCAATAAACCGTTCCCGAGGTACATCTGATCCATGGTGGATCCTTCAAGAAGTGAGAGATTGGTTCTTGCTGAATAGCTTCCTTTTTCTAAGACGAGTACTTTGTAACCAGCGTTTGCTAAAATGCCAGCAACAACTCCACCTCCTGAGCCAGAACCAACAATAACAGCATCACATTTAATCTCGAATGCGTTCCGAATCGAGTTCGATCTTGAGGCATTCGGATTGACGGAAAAACCTGCCTCTTGTAGCCTTTCAAACACGAACTGTTTTGGTCTGTCAAGGTAAACAACCCCTTTGTAGAGGGGTCCAAACAGCTGATCCAGGCATTTTTCCTCTTGGTTTTCGTCCTGATTAGGAGAATCTAGCATTTGCTTGAATGTTTTGATCCTCTGAGTTTTTCTTTTGAAGTCTGGATCAGGTCCACAATAGCCTATAGCTTTCCATGACGGGTTTTCTTCATTTTCATCAACCTGAAAATGGTCAACAACATATATAGGCATATTTAAATCAGGGAAAAAAATATTTAAAAATGGTCCACAAATATGAATATCATACCATGAAACTTAGCACAAATTTCAGTCTTAATTACAGTAAAAAAAAAAGGCTATATATGTACCATTAATCCATTGTTATTTAATTTTGATTAATATGTAGTGCGAACTAGCAAATTATACAGACAAAACCCATTGCATTTATTCTACACAAGAATTTTCCATATAGTCGAGAAATTGAGGCAAATCATTCAAGAGGCCATCCAGTTTAATTTTGCAATCGAACATATTGTTCGACCAATCATTTTTTATTTTAATAACTCAATCTTGATTTAATGGTAGGAGTTTGGTTTTAACTTAGAACATGAGTTATCATAAGTGAATAATTTATTTTTAACAATTTGGAACATGTTGAGTAAAACAACAGCACATTACTCCGAAAAAAAAAAGTAAAACAACAATACAGCCTACAGGGACTACATCCATGCAATGCATATCTCAAACTAATTTTATCTCACCTCACAATAAAAATAAGTGACCAGATATAAATCTCAACTAGACAATCCCTCATATAAGTAATCTATTTTATGAAATTAAAATTTAATTAAACTAATTATTAAGATGATAGACAGTATATACGTACATGGATAGTAATTAAAATTGAAAAGGAAAAAAGTTTAATGTCCGAAAGTCTGTAAATGTCACAAGTTCATTTTAACTTTCAAGCATCAGCAACTTTCCTCAAAAAAAAAAAAAAAGAAAAAGAAAAAAACATTTCAGCAACCAGAATATATATAGATATCTGGTTTCAAATATTGTTGCATGCATCATTTATTACAGGTATACTATACTACACTTATGTGGCTTCATAATAATTCATGCAAAATTGCTTTGTACAGAAAGTGAAATTTCATCAGTACTTCGTAATATTTGAAAAGCATGAGTCACTGTATTAATTTGTAGGGTCATAATCATAGTACGTAATAGTACATATTGTACCGTTATTACAATGTAAAAACGACTACATTATACCCTGGATATAAGAGAGAAAACATGTTCTTTCAAAAAAAGAGAGAGAAAAAACATGTTATGTGGAGTTGTGGACCCAAAAAATGATGACTAGACGCACAAGCAGGTGAAAATGACGCTCATAATATGACAATTAGGGTTTGATAGATAATAAATTATTTTTACTACATAGATCATACCAGTTTATTGTCTTGCTAATAAGAATTAAGCTACGAAAAGAAAAACCAAATATTATAAAAACAAATTAAAAAAATGAAGAGAAATGAGAAGTAAATACAGTAAAAACTTTATAAATGAATAGTATAGGACCCATAAAAATTTTAAAGATAAATTCATAATTATTATTTTATGAATAAATTAATATGTAACAGATTTAATGATTTTTTTCAATTCTCTATTAGAAAACGAATACTCAACTTCAACCCCACTTTCCAAAATATTTATAATCCTATTTTTTTTATTTAATGGTTAGAGGAGAAATCAAAGATAAACTTTTCTTACATGTAAATTTCAAGAAAAAAAAAAACAAAACTCAAATTATTTGATGACAGGCTATTATTTGATGATCTATGGATTAAGCTGAAAACTAATTTGGCAGGGCCAATAAATATGATAAGTAATCTGATTCAACTTGATTATATATTTTTTGCAGGGCTATTCTTTTTGAAACTAAAGGCACTTTAAGAAAGTCTTTAAAAATATTTGGGCGAACTACATTTTACCTCCCGAGCTTTAGTCCCTTAACAGAACACCCCTCGAGTTTTGATGATACTATATTTTCCCCCTTTGACAGGGTGCAACGTTTAGTCAACCATCCAAAAGCTTGAAATGACCAAAATCTCCAGGCAAATTTATGTGGAAAAAGGGGAAGTTTTGTTAGAATTTAAAATGTCTTCTATATCCCCATGATTTAGCCCAAAAGCCTTTTAAAAGAGGAACGAAAAAGAGGCCCAATGAGGAAGGAAAAGAGTTCCTTTATCGTCAAAGTCAAAACCTATCTTCATCAAACCAACAAAAACTCCAGCCACCGATGCCTTGATCTCCCTGCCTCACCACCGCCATCATCGTTTCTGTCCTTTCTTCCCGTTCTCCTATCATCCTACACTTCCCTCTCTTTTTATGAACATAAATCTCTAAATTATTTCATATCTTCTTTAATCCAATCCACCACTCATCCTACATTTTTCCTTATTCCTGTACCTTCCCCTTGGACGGTAAATCTCGATGTATTGGAGATCTTCAATTTGGTTGGGAAGTGGTAATTTTAGTTCATTCGCTGTATGTAATTCGGTGCCGGTAGGATTTAACCACTATCTTCTAGGGAGGAAGGAACAAAAAATTCAGAAAATCATAAATGTACCATTTTGTAACAATTATCGGTCGTTGCTGTTTTTTTTTTTTCCCCTTTAATTTGAGATTTGGCATAAGTTTATATCATGGTGATTGGATTCAATTGAACTGGAATTGAACACGTTATAATTTAGCATTCTATTTTAAGAGTTGAGTTTTGAGGCGATAATGTTATTATTAAAAAATATACTCCACAATCTAAAATTATTATCCAATTTGAGATTTCACATTTCATATAATAATTATTTCTGGTTCTTTGGTGAGGGAAAAGATAAGAATATCTAAAGAAGGACATTTCCTGCAAAGATTATGATGCCATCAACGCTTAGCATGACTTTTCCGATCAGGAGGGTGCAAATGGTGATTTGACCAAGGTTCAAGGGGGGAAACTGTAGTATTATCAAAAGTCGAGGGGTGATCCGTCAAGGGACCAAAAGATTAGCAATAATTTCACTATCAGTGATTGCTTTAAATGTAAAACCTAAATCTCTAATATGGCTGCCAGATAAACCTGTCCATAAGTTTCTCATGGATTATTTTTTAAAACTTTATCTATCCAATATGGTCATTCATTAATATAAGCATTAAAGAAAGACCACTAATTGGACCCCATATATCTATGCAGGAGTCATTCAATATAATAGAACAAAAAGAAGGCTTAAATTTTTTTTCCTACCAAGCATGTCAATGATAAGGAAGATATTCCCGTGTATCCCATGCAAAATTTCTGGTGTATCTCACGCAGGATTTTGTCTAGCTTGTAGATTTAGAATTTTATTTATCTAGAATTAAATAATTGGTTCCCCTAATCTATCCAATTCATTTGTGGTAGTGACTAATCATAAATATGATGGACCCAAGTAAAGGTTTACATTGAATATATATTCACCAATTTTCAGAGATCATATAGTATATATTTAGTGTTTAAAATTACTGTTTGAACAAATTTAAATTCGTGACAAAATTATATATTTGATGTTTAAAATTATTGTTCCAATAAATTTAAATTCGTGACAAAGGCAACATTTGATTAAATTAGTTGACGAGTCATATTATCATTACTCACAAGTTTAAATCGCAATCTTTTTCAGGACAAGTCGCAATTTGAGTAGGTATACATTGACTATTAAGTCTTTTGAGAGAAATTTCTTGCCCGGATTAATTAGATTGATCAGCTACACATATAAAATGATGCGACCTTGAGCTGTTTTTCCATTCGCAATGGTTCAACATATGTAATGATACGAAATATTGATAGTGATCATTTTGTTGTAATTGTTAGGTTTCTATAATTAAGTACTTTTTTCTATCAATACCGGCCCACTAAACGATATTCACGTCAACTTCCAAGAAAATCCACTATATTATTCTCAAAAACTTTGAGCTACCATGTATCATGCATGCATGTTATCCTACATTTATATACACTTATGTGCCATTTAATTTTGTGACAGGAAATAAATTTTCATGTTCTTAAATATGCAGTTTATGGGCACAAAAGAAAAAAGGAAAAAGAAAAATCAATAAGGGATACATTACTAGCACATTAAACCCAGAGGTTCAAAGACAGAAGTTAGGTTGATTTTAATAATTTCTTGGACCCTATGTGACATCCACTTGCATCATAAGGTAGATAAAACAGATCCTTGTTTTTATTACAAAATAACAAGAACTTACATCCAGCAGAGATGTGCTAACATGTGTGTGCAACGATGAAATGATGATCATGGAACCTACCAATAATTGGTACACTTGATATCATGGAACCTACCAAGCTAGCATATCATGAATTACGTCTAGTAAATAGCCGATTGAATGATTCAATTAAAAGTTTATGTCTTTGAATCAAAAGAATTATTCACATATATCGTACTGATCGATGTACATTTATATTTGTTGCTTTATTTACTGAGGGATTACGAATTTTCTTCTTCTTTTTTTTTTTCTATGTATATACTATATGCGTTTGGAATTTTAGTTAGTTACGAGTATCGGCAGAAACTGGAAAAGGTAGATTCACATATTAATTTTTGCTGTATGTCTTATTGAATGAGATCTCTTCAGACTTCGTGCACGTAGCACAAAACACTCTGAAACTTATGTCTACGAACTGCACGTCAACAGTATACACAACATGAATTGGTACCCAATAAAAAATTTTTTTTTTTTAAAAAAAAAGAAAGTAAAAGAATAATTATCACCTATAGCTGTATAATTAGTTTTTACTTTGTCGGTTTGTCCACTTTATAAAATTTCACGACAAATTTTAAAGATTGAACAAATGAAGATTTATTCCATCTGCAATGAAACGATAATCTTGTTTCTTATAGAGTACAATAAACATGAAACAATTATTTTAGAGGAGAAAAGTAAGAAATAATTGGTTCATTTTCACTAGAAGATTAAATTTTAGCTCTAATTAATTAGGTCAAACAATGTTATGTTTCACGGCTAAATATTTTGACCCGATTGTTAGTTTGATTTGACAAAAATAATTCTCAAATATACGTCACGAAATGATGCAATAGAAAGTAATCTCAAAAAGGCTCAAAACAAAAGATAAAAAAGAAAAAGAGCAGTGGGAGAGCAAGAAAAGATAATGTAAAGAGAACATAACAATTGACGAAAATTATACACTCACTCCGTCCCGATTAAAAGAGAGTCAAGTTTAGTTAGTACTCCGTATATACTCCCTCCGTATCATAATTATTGTCCACTTTGCCTAAAAAATTTTGTCCTAAAATTATTGTCCAATTTAACTTTTTATGGATCAAGTTACTCATTTGTCTTTAGTAAAAAACATTATCCATAAAATCTGTGGTTAAACAATTACTTACGTAGGGGTATATCAGGTTGTTCAAGGTAAAATATAGTTAAGTTTGACTAAAAATAAAATTTTTCATTTTAGTAAAACTGGACAATAATTATAGGACGGAGGGAGTATATTATTTTAATTTGGAGAAATAAGAACACTTTTTTATTCCTGTAACAAGGCGAGAAAAAAAGGCAGTTTACCTGAGTGAAGAAAACTAGAAGAATGAGAACTTTGAGAGCCGTGAAAAGAAGCCTCAGAGGAAAAAGGATGCTCCGAGACCATGCAGTCACTATTTGTTCTCTCTTTTGAGGCGAAATCTGAGAGAACTTCTGCAAAAATGGGAATTTGGGTGACAAACTTGGAATCCCACACAATATCAGTGTTCCAATGCCTGTTGATAATGCCCACAAAGCTAGTCGAGCCATGAATAGCTTTGGATGTTTCAATCTTTCACTCAGCAATCCTCCAAGCTACACAAAATCAACCTAAAATGTGTTAGACACTGAAGGTACTCTTTCCGATCCAGAAAAAAAAGAAAAAAAGAAAAATGGTTTTAAAATTAAAGTGGTTAGGTAAATTTACTAATTCTACAGCCCTGCTATTTTGGAGGGAAATAAAAAACTTCATTTAAGATCCATTCAAATGATTGATCGAGCAATAACCATTTCATTTGCATACTCGATGAAGATAAATTTCACAATGACACAATTTTCATGATAACAAATTCCATGTGATATTAATTACCATGGCACAATTTTCATGGTGACCCTTTAATTAATTGTTTTCCTTATACTTACTTCCATTTTAATTTAATCTGAATTCTTTTTTTTTTTAATTGAAAAAAAAGGGCTATTATTAAAAACAACAACATTTTGGTGTTCTTACCCGTTGTGGAGTTCCGGCCATGGAAGCTGAAGTTCGATAGAACGTTTTCTTGGAACCGTCTTTGTCGCCGGAAATACTCAAACAAGGCAAGAAAGTGTCGCAAAGGGAAGTGAGGGAATCCATTTGTCGGGAAGAGAGGGAGTTTTTGTAGTGATTTTTTGGCATCACTTTGCCTCTAATCAGAGGCCTTCCTCCTGTTTCCATTTCCTCAAACTCTGCTGCCATTATGTGGTTCTTTTCATCCATGGTTGTGCTCCACTCAGCCATTTTCCCCGCAGTTTACAAGAAGGGTATATATATTATATAGCTTCACTTGATAAACATTTTGATTGCTTTATGTGAAAGGATTTATATAATGCCCTCAAGTCGGTATTTATGAATTGGGACAACTCCACGTTTTAACAGTTATTTTCTGAAGATTAGGACAACTCAAAGTAGTTTGATAAGTGTCTTTAGGTAGGGAAATTTTCAATGACATTTTAGTGCTATGCTATCTATCATACTCTCTCTGTCTTTAAAAAAAATGTCTACGTTGATTTTTAAAATTTATACTATATTTAGTATAAATATAAAAATTCAATTTAAATAATTATTATGAAAAAGAGAATACGATTTTGATACTTGCGACCTATCTAATTATTTGAATGCCAGGTATTTATTTAGATGAAATGTAATATTTCGTCTGTTCTAAAATAATTTTTCATTTCAGATCTTTAATTATAATAAAGATAAAAATTTAAAGTGAACAATTACTACAGAACAGAGAGAGTATTAACAAAATATGTATATGAAGAATTTAATTAGGACGTAATTAACACTTATAACACAAAAGTGAAACAGACGGATGATCCGATCCTGTATCGTTATAGCTGACATCATAGTTAAGTAAACCCTAACAGGCGCTCAATTCGGAACAAGTTACTATAACGGCCTTAGAATTAACATCTCCCACCGATTCATACTAAACCATCTGATTCTTGGATTAAATGTAAGAGTTGATGTGAAAGTTTTTCAAAATGAGAGGTTAAAGTGATCTAAAACAATAAATTTTATAGAGGAGTATTGGGATAATTTTTACACTTAAAAATTCTGCGAGTTGTTTCTGTGCGAAATGGCCAGCCAAGAAATGAATTGTATGACAGATTGACAGATCGATTTGGCGAAAATGTATCAGACTTGGCGATTAGTTAATTGAGTAGGACCATTTCTTAACAAAATTAGATACACCAGTCTATTTTTTCTTTTTGCCTTTTAAATGCCAACGTGAAGTTTGTTTATTGAAGTTTATAATATGGCATTACTTGCAGTACACCAATTGCCGAAAAGCATACAACCGTTGCATTACTATGAAAGATTGACTTTTTTTTTAAGACAAGATAGAGTAATTTGGTTAATACGCACGCACTTGGGTGTTTGTTATCATTCTATCCTCAAAAGGAACAAATTAAACGCATGATCTTATACGGTACTGTAAAAGTAAAAATATGCTTTATCCAACTGATTCACCCATCAAAGGGTCTATAATATAGGGGGAGACATTAATTCGTAACTATTATCGACCGTGAACAATTTATGATATGATGAGAAGAAAACAAGAAAATAAAAATTAATACTAGACGGAAGGAGTATTAATTAGTCTTCTAAGATTAAAAACTACATAGCTAGTTTACTTAAAGTTTTTGGCCAATCTAGACATAAGACATCTGTTGATAACTACATCAATCCGTCTTCGAAGGGCAACTGATTGCTCATTATATTGTCAAATTATCAATTAAGTAATTTTCTTTTGTTTCGTTGAAAGGATAATTAAGTCTCTATTCCTCCTCTTACTGTCATACATCCTTTGGCTATGATTTTTTTTTTTTTCATATTTCCTTTCAGTCTCATTCTTACCAAAATACGACATTTAAACCAACCCAAAAACTATGGTTAACTAGAAACTAACAATCTAAAAGTGTCCCCACGCACTTAAATGTTCCATGATGAATAAAGAAAGCCTACTCATTCTTTCACGAAACACGCATACACAAAATGTCAACCATATCACAAGGGGTTAAGAAATTTCTTGAGTACCATAGGATAATGAAAGTAGCAATTTTCTTTTATTCTTTTTTTTTACCCCCACTTTTGCAGTAGACAATCACAATTTTGTAGACAATTACATACGGACTTTATACCACGTTTATTGCGAATCTAGGTTCTAACCCTGTCCATGATTAAATTGGATGATGACTATTGCATTCGCTGAAACAAAAACGTTTATTGCGAATCAAAGAAGAATATCTTTGCATACTCACTAATAGGTTTTCAAAAAAAAATTTCCCATTCCAGGCAAAAATGTCTGATCCCTCGTATTTAATAGATACTTTGATGGGTAGGAGAGCTGGTCAAAACATTTTAAGTTGCATAGGTTTTCAAATTCTAGTCATTATGTGTTTTGAAAAAAACATTTAGAGCATGTATGGCCAACCATCTAAATCTAATTTTTTTTAAGAAACATTTAGAAATAATTCCTTAAAACATAGATGTCCTCTCCTATGGTGGTAGCATTTGTTTTTCAGGATACAACTGAGGAATGTGCAAACTACTTAACACTGAGTAACTCCATTTACAAATCGGAACTTAGAAACAATTTGATGAACACAAAGGAAGAAGACGGAAAAGACACAGATAAAACTTATAAAAAATTAGAATAGAACTGAACAATGAGTCACCATTTACATCATGAAAAGACCCTTTGAATTCAGCTAAAGAACTAACAATTTTTCCATATTAGTTCACTTTAAGTGCGACAGAATCATGGTGAGAAAAATGTTTAAATATGTGTAATCAGTTAGACACTTGAATGAAGTTATTTTGCCCATTTAAACAAATTAAAGCCACAAAATTAATGTTGAATTGAAGGGTGAAAGAATGGTTATTTCCAGTGCTGGCAACAAGATTGATGCAGAGAGAAAATGAACAGTTCTTGCACACAGATACCATCTACGAAATCCCACCTCTATGGCAGTTGGAAGGACCTCCGCATCCATTCAAAACCCCTGATCGCCCAGGTCAGTACCCAGTTTCCGGTTTCAAGAAATTTCAGTTCCTCTTATTTGTAGTTATTTGAATTATGCTTCATAAAATCAATATATGGATGTCAACATATAATGAATTGTCGGGGCGTAACAATGTAGGGACTTGTTTCTAGCATGCAAGGTGTTGGACCAGTCAGCCTAACCAGAACAGTGCAATGTTGCATATGGGGCAGTTCGAAGAAGAAGACAACCCAAACCACATTATGCCCCCGAATTTGTAATTGTATTAATGGTTGATATGTTTTTCATCGGAAATTGTCCATTTAGCCATTGTAATATGATTGTCCATTTTAGTAATTTTTATTAAATGGTTGATATGATTCCTCTACGTAATTTACTGTGTTTTATATGTGGCATCTTATTTGTAATTGTATAAATGTAACTAAAATGTCACAAAGTACTATAACTGTGGGAATTTATGGAACTTAATTAAGGAAAAATGAAAAAACAGATAACAAAAACATTTGGCATTCATAATCATAACACATTGATTTCTACTAAGCAGAGCAATTGCATATTTCTATATTCAGGTGGGGATAACCACTTGATTAGCTTCGAGATTGGCAGGGGCTTGAGAGTTCAAATTTGCTGCACTTGTACAATCTGGAGGTTTCTGAGAACTCTCGAGATTACCTTTTTCTGAATTTTTTTCTGCCAATTAAAGTAAAATCAATCACCACTGCAGAGGAACTTTAATATGGAGTGACACACTCAAATATTACCATAAAAAATCCACCCGAAATTCATCGTGAAATGGATATGCCTGCACAAAGTTTGTAACATTTCTGATGTAGATAGATGCTCTAGACATGACCATATATGCCCACCAGGTTCTACAATGACATTGAATCGGTGTGATAAATAGTAGTTTATTATTGTACGGAATACACGAACAAGCACAAATTCATTTTAACCATCTCACCCAGAACGTCATCAATCATTTCCTCCTGTTATGCAAAAGTCTTCACAAGTAATACATTGTTTTGCTGATATATAACAAAGCGCAAAACGTGTGTTACAAATTTAGAAGCTATAAAATGATTGGCTAAAATACACAGTGGCAATATCTTACTGAATTCCTTCTTGTCTTTTGTTTCAAGTCATCAACCAACAAAGTATTTGAAGCATTGAAATCTCCCAATCCCTTTTCCTTCAAATGTCTCCACAATTTTTTCAACTCTTTATGATGGATGGGTCCTTCTATAGAGCAAAGCTCTTGGTCCTGTACCAAATCAACATTAGTTCCTAATCACTGATGACACATCAACACTTTTACTCAAAGCCCTTTCATACAACTAACTTGCAACTAAAAATAAGAATTTGTCCTTGACTTTCGAAAATATGCCATCAATAATGGAATTTAAATTGTGCCTGCAAATAGGTCAATGAAATAAAGCGAATAATTTAATATCACAAAGTCCGTACAACAAAAACCGGAAAAGGAAACTGAGTTTTAGGGTTAATACCTCTTTCTTGAAGACCAGATACCAACTAGAAAGTGATCGAAACAGAACTGAAGGAACTGGTCACAAACCCCTCTCTTGAAAACTGAAACATAAAAATATGGAACAAAGTTAACCAAACTTCTCAGCTTCAAATGAAAATATCATACCATGTTGTTCAACTATAAGTTTACCAGAAAACAGGTTGTTGGAAAAATCCGCTAAGACCCAAAATTTATCAAGCCTCTGCTCGTTGTGCCGGATTACATCAACGAGGACTCCATTCAGATCAAGCACTAGCAAATTCTTTCGTGATTGTTTTTCCCTTAAACTACCTACTCGAAACACATCTTCCACGCACACTCTCCCTTCCCTACTTGTTGTCAACCCTTTGTCAGCATAATAATCCAACTTTTTCTACCGTTTCAATTGCACAATCCAATCTTGATCTTCCAACTCATCTCGCAGTGTCACAACATTCCTACCCAACTTATTTTCCCAAAGTATGAAATAATTTTTACATTCATTACCTTTCAGGGCAGGAACAAAACTTATCTTGCTATAGCCTTTCAAACATAATTTACTCTCAAACCAAGAGCGTATCCTTTCACTAACTGCAGGGCTAATGTCAAACTGATGTTCTCTTAAATAAGGAAGATGATACATGCACAAATTCATCTTGAACATTGGGACAATAGTAAGTTCCCGATGCCGTTGATCTATGCAATAATCCGGCGCATATTGTTGTAAACAACCATAAGGGTGCGGATCAATATCCTCCTATGACACAATCATAATCATATTCAACAACACAAAAATTTAAATACATCTACAAAATACTAAAAGAATATGAATGAACATCTTACAACTGTTATCGACCGAATAATTTCCTCGACAGCTTCCCAACTGAAACGAATATTTCCCATCACTTTCCCTAACTTTTGAACCCATTGACCCATTAATGAGAATTCTTTATGCCAATCCTCAGGTTTCATATGGAACAGTCCTCTCAACTTGGGTATGTATTCCAATGCAAAAACCGAAACAAAGCAATCGTGGAACACGATAATAAAATTAAATTTGAAATCTTTAGGA